CAAACGTCCCCTCCCCCATGACAACGCCCTCGCAAGCAGGCACACATATATATAATATGATATTAATTATAAATGTCATAAGATATAAACCCCCTACCTCCCCCCCCCCCAATTGAATTTATGACCAATAAGTAATTAGCCCTAACTACGTAACTTTGTGGATATGAAGAATATTTCTAGAACGAGTATCATACTTATGTACTAAAATTAAATTAAAGACCAATAAGTATTTGTGAAAGCYCTAACTGAAGAAGATTTCTTGACACTATTGTATTATATTAACCTTTGATAGAAGTTTTACTTGATTTATCAGGGAATCTATCTCAGCCTTAAGTCTGCTACACCTATCATGATCAGAATAATAAAGAATATATTGAGCTACAATGTAGGTATCAATTGATTTGAGAGTGTATGACTAGTAAAAAGTTTCTGCCTGTATTATACAACCTTGCCAATACACATCAAAGTAATAAAAAGAAACACATTTAGTTTAAGCTTAAGCTTTTGAAATTGAGTTTTGGACCTAAAGTGATAATTTGGTTTCTTAAAATTTTAAGCATGGTCTTTCTGACTTCTGGTGTTCACATGACCTTAAGGAGAGCAAAACAGAAATTTCAAAATGAAAATATGGCCTGGTAGTTTTTATAGGAATCAAAAATATTTTTATTTGAAGTTGTTAAGTACATTGACCTTAACAAGAATCTGAAAAATTTTCGAGTCATATAAAAACCACCAGGCCATTTTGAATTTTCTACTATTTTCGCCTTAAGGTCACATGACCACTGGAAGTCAACATGACCATCCTTAAAATTTCAAGAAACCGAATTATGATTTTAGCCCCAACACTCAATTTCATAGGCTTAAGATTGATAGAGTTATTGCAGAAAGGTAGTTTTTCAGTGATCCATTAAAAGACCAAGCCTTAACATGCTTGAGATACTGTACATTTAAGTGGTGTTTTTGCAGCCTTGACCAGTTCTTAATAAGTGTGTGTGTGGGAGTGGGGGGAGGGGGGGTGAAGGATGTATAAGAAAGTGATGCATGGAATCATTAAAAAATCAATGCTTGGACTCTCTGTGTGGTTTTGTGATGCCACAATTTCCAATCAAGGCTACAAAGGTTTGTCCTGTTTAAGGCCAGAGCTATCACTAATCCCACAAAATTATGAAGTCAACTGCTTCAGTGATTTTTATCCAGATCGAGTCCCTTTTGGCCTACTTGAGTTGGCCGATGATAACATTTTTTTGAATGGACTGTATATTCATATATACAGTATTCATCAAATTTTTCAATGGTTAAGCATGGTATGGCCACTTATTATGGCATGATATGACATCAACAGTTGATAAAAATTAGCTATTAGTACTATTTATTCCCATGGAAACCATTATGTATACAATGAATGATATGTAGGTCCCACTGCACTTACTTTTTGAAATTCCTACTTCTTTCTGGGGATGATATAGAACTTGTGACGAGGTGCTCACGGAACTCATTAACCTATAAATACCCAAATACTTTAATCTTAAGCCTGTTTTTTATCACGCGCCATTTATAATTTTCGTCTCAGTGAGTCATAGCTCGCGTCGTATGAATAAAGTATAGTAAACTATATTATAACATTAAACAGAGTGGAACATCCAGTTGATAATAGATTAAGTTAAACATCATAATAACTGAACTACTTTTTTACTTATATATGGTTTAGATATAAATAATAACTGTACACAAACAATTAGCTTCTGAAGATAATCTCATCAAACCTGTTGCGTGAGGGATGAAACTTGATCTTGAAGAGCTTTTAGTGGGCTTTCTTGTTGGAGTTTAGCCAAGGCATTCACTTTTTTTAACAAAGACATTATATTGTCTTTATCCCACGGTGTCAAAGGATGCTTTGAACCAAGATTTAAAGCTAAAAATCTGTTAGATATGAGGTAGGATACTGCTCCTGCGCTGCTGTCAAGATACTTCGTCCATTTTAAAAACGTTCTCGTTCAGGACGTGTGCCCCGGGGGTCTGGGGTAGAAACCCATGAGCCCTTGCGCGCTTTATTATTCTATTTTTAGCAAGTCAAGAAAAAGATAATAATAAATTAGTTTTTCAAAACCTCGTCAACAGTTTTCGATCATTCCTGGACCTTAAATATCGTCTTTACTTTTTCAACCAGAAACGCAAGAAAATCTTGTTTTGCTGTATAAAAAGTGGCCTTTTTATTACCAAGGTTGGTTAATGTTTGCCGGGGTCATGCTGGTCTGACTTGACCCCAGGACAACAGAATAAATAGACATTTCTCTACCGTGATTGTATTCCACGAGTTAATTGACATATTGTTAGGGCTAGTGTAATATTTCGCCTCAAAATCGGAGCCATTTTGACGGTGTTTAGTGAAGTAGAACTAACCGTTCGGACATTATAATACATTACTTCTCTATCTCTCTTTCTCTCTCTCTTGAAAGGAGTTTACACGAGGGAACTTGTTCAAGTCTATAGACAGAACATGTGGCCTACGTCTTCGTCTCTCAAGAACTTGAGATGGATGTGGCTAGTTATTTGGGCTTGCTGTATGTTACAAATCCACGCTCAGAAATCCAATAATCCGCCAGGTAAGTCTAAAGTACTGTGATTTAGTCAAACGTGTTGCGTTGGCCATCCTTGCATGTCTAGCTCTTGTTTTCCCGAAGACTATGAATTTAGCGTACATGGAAATGAGCAAAGCGTAATAAACATTTGTTATCCAGTCACTGATCATAGTCCAAGGTTTTGATACAGACGTGCTATTGCTTTAATAAACATTTAGGAACTATCTTAGTAATACAACTTTGTAGTAGCTTATGTAGAACAATAGGAACCCGTTCAAGCACGATGGCTTCGAGTAAAAATATTATTTATATGAAGAACAGCAAAATTATATATAAGCTTAATAAGTTGTGTTCTGATCGATTCCCTCACTGTTGAAAATTAGAGCTAATAAATGATGGATTCTGGATTTGTAATAATCTCATTGGCACGAAGCACGGATATTAATAATGAACATAAATCGAATATTTAGATCCTTCGTACAATATTTATTGCAGTAAGTGATCAACCTAAAAATATTTCAAAGCACCATTAGTGGAAACTTGTTGTATTTAATATAATTATTCAAAGTTATCCTAATATGTTTGATGGATTATTCGCTGATTTTTCGATGGTATTATAGGGGATATTTTAGGCAACACTGGCTACAACCGCTACAGCATACAAAATTATGCAAGCATGCCGTGTCAATAATTTATTTATGACTGAAACAAGAAAAAAAGTACATTCTTTATTTAAATTCTTATTGTTTTATTTGGGCCGCAAATCCGTCGCGACGTAATATTTTTTTGGCATTGCCATGTTATTTTACCGAGTAATTTTAACTTTTTAAATTACAAATAACTTGTGGTACTTTACAACTCTCTCTACCATGTGTGGATAACAATCATCGCACATGCCAGAAGAAAGGTCTAGACTTCTGAACTCAAACAATCCATTGTTATTAAAAATAAATGTAACTTCTTACTGTAAATGCATCGAGGTGTTTTGCAGAGTAATTAAACTGATTCTAGATTGTGGTCATTGACGGACCGCTCAATATACTTACTGTTGCCACCAAAAGGGTTCTTTTTTCGTGATATGATTTTTGCCCTTCGACTTTCAAATCTTTAAAGCGGAAAAATGCGAAAGAAATATAGAAGAAACAAACAAACAGGAGAAAATGAAGAGAATAGGGAAAAGAAGAAATMTTTTTATCTTTTCACTGCAGGCCATAGCAGTGGACGGTATAAAACTTGTAATAACAAGATTTCCCTCAGAATTGCATGTAAATAAATAAATAAAAAGTCTAGCTTTAGGTCAATATCTCTAAATGCCAAATAACATATGAATAACGAGTATATTTGTGCATATCTTTCACCATTTCTTTATTTGTTAATAACTGTGGATATAAAAACATAAAATCGAGGGTTGAAGTATGTTTTTTAAGACACACTCTTTCTAAATCACAGTCAGTACCGACCTCTCAGTCTCAAGATAAGCGTTTTTGTTAGATGAACGAATGCTAAAAGAGTTTACTATGGAATATAACAATGCTTTGTGTTAATTTAGTTTGATAACAGGCATTTTTATTTCAATTAGTTTGCTTATCATAAATCACGAGCCATGAGCATCGAATGAGATCATGGTTGTTTTGAGTGGGCGAAAAACGTGACTCAAATGKTTTCCGCAGTCAACTGAATCGGCGATATGCAAAACTAACTATCATTATATAATAACAAGGTATTAGAGATCTCAATAGAATCTGCTCTATTATATATCCAACATGAGGAAGGACTTCCGTTTCCGGTTTTTATTAGCTTTAATTTTTCCTTTCCTTTCCCTTATCAAGTACAGGTCGAATCTGTTCACGTACTGAGCAGATTGGAAGATAAGTGAAAGCCATTCTAATGATATAGGCATACATGCTGTGAGTCAGTAGTATAGTATGCTTCCCACTCATACGAATGACTCTCGAGTTGATGGATATATTTTAATCTGGAGAGAAAACTGAGAAGGGGGACTGCAAATCGTGGACAACGTCCTTCCTCACCCTTACGTTCACTTCTTAATTCCTTTCTTAATTTTTTTTTCTTTCTTTTCTCTTCTCTTCTCTTCTCTTCTCTTCTCTTCTCTTCTCTTTGATATGTTAGATT